ACTCCTTGGCCTAACTGGTAAGACGCGTTTTGTAAAGCCGTGCGGGTTAACCCAAAGCGGACAGTATCTGACCCGGTTGGCCAAGGTGCGTATCATTCGAATATATATATATATATATATATATTATAGAATACAAATAATATTATTTTAACTGGATAATGCCAACGGTAATCAATTCTCTTAATATATGTTGACAACCCTAATAACTATGAAAGCAATTACTCTTAATTACATCGACATATGTGTTGGGTAGGGAACGATGCTTCTCTCGCAGGTGGTAAAGCAAGTATTCTAATTATAATGGAAAGTACATGGCAAGATAGTTCTTCTCCCTAAGAGCACCAATAAGTGCATCAACTGAGGTTGCTTAAAGCAAATTGTTTTATCTCAGATAAATAAGTGAATTGTTTTCTTTTTTGACGTTCTTATAACATGTTGAATCTCAGCAATCTCGGAGGGGACTAAATGTTGATTTATGTGGTTTCCATTGTCATGGATGCCATTGTTCTTTAAAATATAATAGGTTGTCATTGCTTGAATCAACAACTTTGTTGGAAAGCGTCTTAGAAGGATTCTGTTTCTGTAAATCAAGCTATGCTAAGTGCATCGGAAAACATTGGTTATCTTTACCTCCTCCCCCCATGCCCTGCGGAAAAAAAACAGTGGTTGTTCATTTGTTGCTTGACCATATATCCATTAATGACTGTTAAAGTTGGGGTTCCATTTGTCAGTGTGTTGAACTAGACGAAAGTGGTTTGATATTGGATTTTTTGCAGTGTCCTTCCTTTCTTCTCTTATGAATGTGTTCCATGTTTAGGCCCTCAGAGTCAGAGAAGAGATTGAACTTTCTGCCATCTTGTGTGTGTTAGTATTTCAGATTATCTTTTTGTTTCACAATTTATTTTTATTCATACAAGGGTACAAGGCCCTTGTTGTACTGAGGTGCATGTTTTGTGGGGATTGCTAGCCTGTACATTTTGTAGTCAAATGCTGGTTGCACTAAGGTGGGTTATGTAGTTAGAATTCAGAAAAATCTCTCAAGCCAAATTTGAAATCTGCCTCTGCCTGTGTTAAGATAATTAAACATGGAGACTCAATAGAGGAACATTTGGTGTCTTGTATTCATGAATGTTTAGCCTGTTGATCCTGTGTGCTGGTTAAATATACAACTAGACTAGCGACTAGTTATCCCAAAAAAACGTGATCTCTGATTATGCAGTTGGAGTGATCTTGATTCACTGTGGCTTGGTAGCATTGAGAAGGTTCGGGAGGGATGCCTTTCATCGCAATGTTTTTCTTGCATTTCGAAAATAAGACTTTCCTGTCGACGTGTTTGTATGTAGCATTTTCCTTGCGTTTTGCAAGAGGCTGTTGACCGCTATGCACCAAGGCTACTCGGCTTCTCATTATGTGTGTTGATGGAAGTTTATGTATTAGATGCACAATAGCTTTCTAGTTAATATGGAATGCAAATAAGATGATCTTGCGGATTTATTTGACTAGGTAGGAGTAATGAACTGTTTCACCAATAAATCTTCTTAATTAAACTTGTTGTCGAGAATTTATAACTGACTGCAAAGAGATACGCACACGATTAAAATTAGATTTGTAGGTTGATATGTAATCTTTTACCATACTGTATTCTAAAAGCAAAATTACTAGACTGTGAGTTGGCTAAGGTAGGCTGAAATAACACCACCTACGATAGAGAAATCTTTTTTCTCCATTCTCTCCACGTGAAAAATGTAATATTTTCCAATTTGTGACATCCCACAATAATTGCAACCTTTTCTATATCTTCAGGCTAGAACTACCTTTTTGCCCATGGTCCGATATTGCACACTACTGTAATTAGATTTGTAGGTTTGACAATGTTATCTTTACCGCACTGCATTCAAAAAACAAAGTTACCACTTTCCAGACCCTGCAAGTTGGTTAAGGTAGGCTGGCTGAAATAACAACACCTTCCATAGAGAGATGTTTATTACACCATTCCCTCCTTTAGTTTCCATTTTGTGGCATCCCATAATAATTGCTACTTTTATCATATAAATTTTAGGCTAGAATTACCTTTTTGCCCATGATCAAGATTACATGTTTTTGAAGATATGTCCAACAAACCCCTATAATGTTATTGTTATCCGTTGAAGGAAATCTAATATATTTGGCCACTAGTTAATGAGCTTGAAACACCCTCTTAGCTCGGGTTGGCTGAATGAACTTCCTAAACGTAGTGATTGCCTGATGGGAAACCCATGCATGATCATCGAGCGATCCCTGTATGATAATCAGTTCATCGCATTTGGGCATTTTATGGTCAATTATCATTTTTTTTGTATGCCAACTTTTATGTGTTTCTGGATCTACAGGAGGTTTATGATGTTTCTATTGGAAACTTTACTGTTTCTGGAATCATTCCTATTCGCAACGAAAACATTCTTGATTGATGCTCATCATTTAAACTGGTTTTTGAGATACTTGATCTATCTTTTGCCATAAATTCACCCATTTTTGTGGTCTCCCTTGATGGTTATGTTTTTCTCCCAATGAATCACAACTGTTAAGTTTATCCTATTTATATGAAGCAGTTCCATTTTATTGAATCATCTTACCTGAATAATTTCACTTTTCTTGCATAATTTGTTTTGAATACCTACCATTCTCCTGAATTTGCAGCACTTTCAGAATATTCCAATTCATGTGTGCCCTTTGATATAGATCTTTATCAGCGACCTTTGACCCCACTGGTAACATCCGAACGTTATAAACAAGTGGTTATAAGTTTAAGACTCACAGTCAATGATATGTGTTGACCGTTTCAGACAGAAAAAAAAAAGATGGAATTTTGTTTATGTTTTTTACTCTCTTCTACTAAGAACAATGAATTGTAAAATCAGCCTCTTCATGTAGACATTATATTGTATGATCTCTCAAAGCGATGGTATATTTTACACCTTTTGTGCATTCACCCAAAGGCCTATATTTTGTGTAATAGGTCTCATTGTTAAACATAATCGACATGTTTATGTTGTACCCTGGATCAAATAGTCAATACTAGAAAGCAGGGCCGATGTTAAATGAAGGGTACCGGTAGTTAGTGCAGTCTATCAGGTATAAATAAAGGGGTTGGGATTTAAGGGGGGTATCGATGAGTTTTATGTGAAAATTGAGATTGGCAAGAGTCTTGGGAGAGCTCTTAGTCTGTCGAAAACTGAGAAACCCTTTGTATACACATTCCATTTTAATCGAAGGTTTTAGCGTTTGATCATCGGTGTGTAACAGTTTACACTTCCAAGCATTTTCTAACTGCATATCTTTTGCTTTTGCCAGGTTTCCGCACAGTTCAACGTGGAGGATGGATTAAAAGTCCCAAGATTAACTGCCGAGAGCTCGTGGGATATCGAATTGTGAAACTCTGTTGCAGTTTCTCTGAGGTCAGAGAAAACATATTCCTCCATTAATTGGTATCAGTTTACTTGTTAACTTGGTATGATGTTGTTCTTAAATCATGTACCTGTTCAGATACTTATAAACATCCTTGTCTAAATTGTTGGTTTCATATTGAGCCATAAGACTTGGTTTCGATTTTCCCATATATTTTATGTCGTTTTTTCGTTATTTGTAATACATCGGGACCTAATCGTCGAAGTGCCTTCCATGGTTTTCCTTCGGATGCCTTTCCATTGGCCTCGTCGAGGTTAGGGTTTTTATTTTACACACACAAACGCAGGCTTTACCACACGTTGAGGAGAGGACATGGGGTCCTCGTAACTTTAAATTAACAGGTAAGGAGGTGGGTGTTCTTGCGAAATGAATGGGAGGTTTGAGGTTCAATCATATTCAATGCCCACCTGCCCTTGGCATATACAATTTCTCTCTTACAATGGTCATGAGACCGATATTGTTGGGGAGCTTCAAAGAGTGACGTTCAGGCCTTTTTCTGACATTTTATAGGTCCTGAATGAGATGTGAAAAATGACCCTTGATAAGTGAGATTAAGAAAAATAACTCTCTTTATAAATTCTTCTAATTTTTCTGTATACTAAATTACTAATCTTTTTTCTATTTCTTTTTCTCTGTTAGAAAAGAGAGAGTAATCCTTGAAAAAAGAGGATAAATCGAAATATAGCTGCTGCACTAGGGACAAAATTCAAAATACTTCTAAATAAATGTGATCTACCATACCATTTTTATATGGCATTGTAAATCCGTTCTACAGCCAAACATATTATATGATATACCTTTAGTATATAGATTGACATCATTTGGAGTTACAGTGTTGACTATTTGTGGACCTTGGACATACGCTCGGACAGTCCTCCCCAAGGACGGCCCTGATGACGTCATATTTTTTTTTTTAAGAACTTGTTGAAGATTGGTTTTAAGGGCGTTCATCGATCGGAATCCATTTGATGGATGGAATCATACTAATCCGATTCAATCATACTTTGGATGTTTGCAATCAAATCCGATGGGTTATATTTGTTTCGATGGATCATGTGTTGATCCATCAAATGCTTGTAATTTTCTCAATAACACGACACAAAAATATCAAATCAAATAAAAGAATAGTAAATGGAGTCTAAAATATGCAACATGATACATATAAAGGAACATTCAAATATAGTGACAAAGCCCAAATCGTGATTGTGATTGTCCAAAACGAATCTTGACTTTATTCTAGTGCTTGGACAACGTTACTGATTAAACCATACATTACTTATTATATGTAAATGTTCAAGATTTACATTGAAAATCATAAATCAGTTGACAAATTTCTTCCTGAAATATACTGCAAATTTATGATACTTCTTGTACTCGAAATCCTCACTAAACCCTCAAATTGATTGCTGGGGTTTGCTTTTGATTTCATATGATATGGATAGAGAGAGTCCCATTTGGTGGTTTCTTGATAATGACCACGATAACGATATTTATCATTCTTCATAAATTCCTCAATTGAAAATAAAGGTTCGTACATATAGTTGTCTTATGACACGTGTATGAATTAGGTTCCACTTGAATCCATATGATTCCAATGGTTGATTGGCCTTTGAACAAGTACTTTAATATTTTGATCATACTGGTCGCTTACTTGGACTACGTACAAAAAGTCGCGGTGAGGGTTGTCAACGACTAACACATTGTGAAGAAAAAAATTATTTTTGTGCTTTAATCATAGTTGAAAACAACGTTCGATGAAAGATAACTGTTAGGGTTATAAAGAAGATGTGACGTGATAACGAGGTCAAACTTTAAGTCTTAAAAGATATGACATTTTTCAAGAGATGACTTATGGAGACAACCCTATGGTTTAGAAATTGCAATTTTTTGTTCACATGGTTTGTATTACTATTTTTGTTTTTATAATTTATAATCTATTGTTGTTTTAGTCCCTGTGGTTTACAATACTTCACATTTTTGGTCCCTTATACTTAAGGGTAGGAACCATAGGGGCTAAAATTGCAATTTCTAAACCAAAAAAATGAAACTCATAATTCACTATTATACATACATATAAAGATGAACATACATAATTTACTCTTATACATTTTTTGTGAGAAAGATAGTTAAAGTGAGAAGCATAATAAGAGATCTCCATCACTAGATGCACCTTAAGACGAGATGAATCAGATCAATCCCCGTATCAAGTATAATTCATGAGTGAGTTTGAGATTAAAGGTGATCAATGGTCGAGATCCCTTCTTACGCTACTCATCTTAACTTTCTTTCTCACACGATCATTCACTTATGTGTGTGCGCGTCCTGAGTCAATACTATTAAAAATATAAATTATGTTATATACTTAAAATAAAAAAGACAGAAACATCAAATATTGCGTTAGAAAAACCGCACATTCATTGATGACGTGCCATGACGTTAACTTGGTGTCAAACACGAGTCTTGAGCCACTGCATATCTAAATTATATTTTAAATATTTAACTGTCATTCAAAAACTCTCAATAAAATACGTATCAAATAGAAATTGTACTCAATTTAGAACGAAAGAACATTTCGCTTTGCCAACCTAAGTAAAAGGACTGATATTGGATTAAAATAAAGTACAAGGGGTAAAAGTGACATTAAACCAAACCCAAAGGTTGTTTTCTTCAAGATGCTTAGCAAACGTCAGTTTTAGCGCCTTCTTGATAAATTTCGAAACATCTGCCGCCCAAATACTCCGCATTTTTGCATCTCCCTCCATAACTTCCCCTTGTTTATCTTTTCTTGTGATCTGCAAATTCACTCATTCAGATCCCAATCTTCATCTCCCTTCACCAAATTATAACCCTAATTCTGTGAATTTGAATCACAGACCGATGGAAAGCGATGACGATTACGAGTCCTTTTCGTTTCCAAACGACGAGCCTTCGCCTTCGCCTTCACCCAAGCACCGAAGGCTCAAACGCCTCAAGAAGTCCACGGCTGTTGCGGCTCAATCAGCGCCGGTTGAATCAGTAAGTGAACTCATTGACTTGCCCAGAGTTGACTTTGCCAGACTGGAAGCCCTAGAATCTTCGGATATCCGAGCATTTGATGATTCAAGTAAGCCACTTTCGTCTCAGACGTCTCCGCCGTCTGAGGGTTTTGATGGTCACGGGAAGGGTAAAGAATCGAACTCTGGTTTTGATAACACGCTTGTGGATGAAGATCCGAAGGAAACTAAGAAAGCATCAGAATTTGAAGAGGGGTTTGGTGATGATGGAAAGGAAAAGGAGTTGGGCTCTTGTTTTGATGATACGCGTGTGAATAGCGATCGGAAGGTAAGGAAGAGGGACTTGGAATTTGAAGAGGGTTTGAATGATGATGAGATGGAAAATAAATTAGGTTCTGGTTGTGGTGATACGCCAGTGAGAACAGATCGGAAGGAAACAAAGAGGGTATTGGAGTTTGACGACGAGATTAATGGGAGTGGAGTGGATCAAGTGGGTGAAAAGGAAGGAGAAACTTTACACATGAAAACTAGGGAAGATGGGGAGAAGGAAGTTGATGAAGGTGCGATGAATGAGAAGGAAGGGAGGAAAAAAAGACTCAAGAGTTCCAGTGAGGACCCAAAAGCCAAAACCTCGTCTTCCAACAAAAGAAGGGAAGAAAAGGTACATCTCTGATCTTTCATACGTGTTTTGATGTTTGGTCATCTTATGGGTGTGTTTGTGTTTCATGTCATTCACCAATTGTTCCGAGGCTTTTATTTTATATATTGAAAATATAAAAGAAGCTTAAAAATCACAATTACTTTATTGGCATTGAGCTCTTTCTGATCATGTTTCTTTGTTAATTGTTGATTCCTGGATTTATAGGAAAGAAAAGCTCATCTTGAGCAACTTCATGCTGAATCTCAGAGACTTTTAAGAGGTGCTTGCTTGACTCCTGTGTAATCAGCTTGGTGCTATTAAATTCTGGCAATGCATTTTATTTAATTTTTTCCACCATTTTATATATTCTATATTTATATTTTTAGAAACTAGAGGTGCAGCGTTTAAACCAGTACCACTCGTGCAAAAGCCCATATCATCGATTTTGGAAAGGATAAGACAAAGGAAGCTTGAGCTGTCAAAGAAGTGAGTTTGGTTTGTTAACTTGATTATGTGTGACTTGAGCTCCACCTTAATTAATCTTTGTTGTTTAATATGCAGGTTTTGCCAGCCAAGTAATAGTGAATCTGTCAAGGAATATGATGGCTGTTTGAAAGAGGCTGCAATAGATCATTCCAAGAGCGTAGAAACAGAAGTTGGTGACTTATCAGAGTCTGTGAAAGAGGAGAAAGTTTCAAGCGTCCTGAATGGAGAGCCTGTATCAGATGATATATGTAAGAATGGACCTGATGTCTGTGGAGAACAGAAGAGTTGTGACAATGCATGTTCACAAATGGTATGCAGCTATGGATGATAAAACTATGTTATGCAAGCATTATTTTGTACGTTTATTATCCTAGATGTGTTGTTGTATTAAAAATGTTTCTTTTTCCCTCATGGATTGCATGTGGTCACTTGCTCACACCCATGATCAACATAATAGACGCCTATGGCATTCCAGCCTTCCTTTGCCTTTCATGACCACATATCATTCCGGCTAAGGAATGGGAAATCCTTCTGTGGTTTCATGAATCCAATTTGTGAAAAATTTGACACTATAGTTGTCAGAATCATAAAATTCATGGGTTCAATATTTGTTCAATTCCATTCATTTGGAAAATGATGCGAATACAATGAGATTTGCGGTGGTGAAGTGCTCTTGTGTTGCTTAGTCTAACTGTTATTATTGGGTTCTAATTTTATCAGAGACCTCTTACCTTATCTGTTCCTTTGTGAATCGACCAAGGTTTTGTATGTATCTGCTTGGGATTCAAGCTAACTTTGTTTCATTTCAATCTGTGGGCTCAGTTTGACAGATTGATATCATCTTAAAATTTAATCATAGCAGAAATGGTTGAAGTTGATTCACAATTCATGAAATTAGAAGAATGTTTCTCAAGCGGTTAACAATTCAATAACTATGCTGACAAAGCATTTGGAAGCTTCATATTATTGACATTAAGGCGAAAAATTTCTGTTAATCACAAGTTACTGAGATGTTTTCACTTGTTATCTGATAGAAGTTCTCATATAAAGGTATCTTTTTTCATGCTGCTACAGGCTTTGGATGAGGAGTCTACACCTGTTTTTCGAGCTCCTGTTGATGATACTGAGGTTGTTCTTAATTTCCAGCTCTTTCAAAGAAAGAGTTTACAATACTTATGTTTACTCATTATTGTCCATGTATGCTCAGTTACTATGCTAATTGTAGGAACTTTTTGGTGATTGCCAAACAAGCGATAGTAAAGAGTCTAAAGATGAAGAGCCTGGTGAGCAGACTATTAGTTCTCAGGAAGAGGAAATGGGACCTTCTTGGCTAACAATGAAATTGAAGCTTGATTCCGCTCCTGATGATATGTAAGTTCTGGTTAACTTTTAGTCTGTCTGCTGCTTTGAGATGTGTTTTAGGTAGGCTGACACTGCTATCATATCTTTGGCAGTAGCTTGAAGCAAAAGTGATTTTTTTTTGACATCTTATAGAGGAGGTGCTCTCTTTTGGATGGAAATGTTTATGCTTATAATTTACATATATGATTCTTTGCCAATTTTGCAGTTCTGACAAAGAAGAAAATGACAAGGAGAACATCAATCCTCATGTTCATGAACATGCCAAAGAGTGTTCTTCCCCAAAAGGAGATCCTGTTAAAGCATTTGTTGACGAGGAGGCTGAGGAAGAAGATGATAGTGATAATGACCGAATGCGGTTCGGAGATGATGAAGAAGATGAAGATGATGGTGATGCTGAGGAACTCCGTAAGATGATAGCAACTGGGTATGTAGAAAAACCAATTGACAAGGAAGCTCGCAATGAACTTCATCAAAAGTGGCTTGAAGAAAAAGATGCAGCTGGAACTGATGATCTCTTGCGAAGGCTAAATGTTGCTTCTAAACTCAGAGAGGCGTCTTTACTTGATGAGGAGGAAGGTGAAGAGGATGTAGAGCCAATTGATGATGTTGAAGAAGATTTAGAACGACCCCAGGTTGCTCGAATGAATTCAAAGAAAGCAAAAGAAATGATTGCTCAGATGTTTACTGATAAAGATGAAGATTTCTTATCATCCGACGATGAGGAAACAGATAAGCTATTAGCTAGACGGTGTCTTTTTAACAAAGCTGTGAGTGATTTGTTAGTATTCGTTTTTGGATTCATTTTTCAAGTTATGATTATTTTCTTTTCCCATGCTAGATTTTTGGTTTTATATGATTTGGTCTATATCAATGTCTGAAATTTAGACTAATATCATAACTAAACAGGAAGAAAAGGGTAAATTAGTGTCACCAATAGAGGATGAGGAATCAAAAGAAGTTTTTGGTCTTATCAAGAAGCTAAATACTGTTCCTGAGGCTCGGAAGAAGGCAAAGCCAGCATGTAAGCTGTGAACATAAATTTGTGAATCTGAGTAGATACTAGACCAAAAACTTTAAACTCTTGTTTTGATCTTACATGATACTTTTTTTTGCAGCATTCTTTGATACAATGCTCACAGGAGGGAATAGCAACAGCTCTTCTAAGGTAATGAGGTTTACAATGGTTGGCATACAATAAGTTAATAATCTCAAGTACATAGTGTTTCATCTATCACATGTATTGGCTTTCTTGGCTTGTCAAGCTGTTCAAGAATTGTCACGCCATAGTTGAATCTTTTAGTATTTATAAAGACGTTGGCCCTTGTTTTTTTCAGCATTTTTAGGACAGAATGATTATTTGCATGAAATCAAAAATCAGCTTCTTCAGGATTTTTGTGTGCATTTTTGCATAGTCATTCTGCCATACCTGAAATCCATCGCTTTAGTTTTAGTTTTTGAACCTGAGAATGGTAGCTTTAGGATGGATATACTTTTGGTTTTAATGCTGTTCTAACAATCCTGGGATATATCCAAGCTACAAATTCAAGCTTTATTGGCCAAAATTATAATGTTGTACTAGTCCAAAGCATAAAGTTTCTGGTTAAAATTTTGCAGATATATTGTGTGTATACATTTCAGTTAAGTGAGTAGCCATTACCAGGGCATAGTTTGCAAAAATCAAACATCCATTGTTGCATATAGTTGTGTTTATTAACTTTGTACAGCCATCTTTTCAAGCTATTTCTGCTGTCCTCTTGTTTGATGATTATGGTATCCAAAAATCATGAATGTCATAGTAGTTCATTTTGTGATCTTAATGTTGCAGTCATCTTTCCTGAGTCGAGTGTCGAACCATTCTGTTTCAATTTCCTCCAAGCAAGGATCCACTGCTGTTCGATCTTTCATATTTGGACGAGATGACAGCAATAGCCGAAATTCAACATCAGTTTCAGAGGAGACATGTGATACTGTAAGTGTTTCAAATATCATTAACAACAAAATGCTCTTGATTTCATTTACTTAAAACTTCTCACTTGTACACCCACATGTAGACTACTTTTCTCTGATACCTTATTTCTCAGTTCTTGCATTTTAGCATGGTGCAGCTGGATTTCTTAAATGCACTTGCACTTTATATTCCAATTTACCCTTGAAAGATGATACCCACACTGCATAAACACTAAAGAACTTTTTGACAAATCCTTGCAATCTTCAAATGGGTGTGATAGGATACAATATATAGGTCAGTTTCAGGGGAAAACTGCAAAAAAGAAAAACTAAGGAACACCTTGGTAACCATATGCACATGTGTATACAAGTAATTTGTAAGCAAATTTTCCAGTATGCACATGTGCATAACATGCATAAAAACCAAGAAACAACTTCAATTACTTGTATGTACAATGTGCACACCGTCCAAATGAATGGTTATTAGAGTGTTTCTCATTTTCTATTTTTTGGGAGGGTTTTTCCTTAACCTCCCCCTCTCTATATATATTCACCGGTTGTTATTATTAGTTAGCTGAACGACATCCGTGTTTGCATTGATCTCATTGATTGGTTATGGCGTGCAGACATCAAGAGAAATCGAAACAAAGAAGGTTACAACCACCAGTTATTACCGCAGCTCACAATCACAAGCCAGATCTAGAAAGGTTGTTGGTGAGAGTAGCAGTAGCAGTAGCAGTAGCAGTAGTTCACTGTTTGAGATACTGAAGCGATCTTCTACGGTGCAATCCAATGATGAGAATAATGTGGTTGAGCTTAGTCAATCTGTTTTTGCTGCCTTTAAGATTCCAAAGAAGCCTGTAAAGATCCAAGGAAGAGTATAGCAAGCATCATCACATGTTCAAGATTTCTTCTAGATACACTCTCTTGTGGCCAATTGGTGGTCAGATAAGATTCTTTTACTTTGGAACTGTTATATTGCTTTATTTTATATATATATATATATATATATATATATGGTTTTTGGTACTTTCTGTTTGTTAAGGAACTTTTAGCATAAGAGTTAATGGGTTCTTTTCTCTATGACAATATTTGATTCTTCATTTCAATTGTTAATAATAAGTGGTTGTAAGTGTATACATGATGTCATGTAATTAGCTGACTGTGTATGATAAGGATCGAGAATCTTATCCGGTAAGTACAATAGAAGATTCTTACTTAGCTGACTGTGTAAAAGACACCAACAATCCATTTTGATGACTGCAAATGTTACTAGATAAGGCAAGTATAAATGGTGATCTTAGCTGCTTAGTGCTTAATAAGTAATGACCTCTTAGATATATGAACAGTTTTTTAGACTAAAGTTCTGTTGAATTATTAAGAATTGGTAGACAACTTTGTTGGTGTTATGTTTTTCTTTATGTATGTCACAACTGATACAAGCCTAGGTTTAGCGCTTTTGAAGTCTATTTAGGGGTGTTTGGGATTGCTTATAAAAACAAATTATTGACTTATTCCGGTGTGACACCGGTAACAAACGCTTTTGAGTGTTTGGATAAACAACTTATACTGATGCCATACTAGTAATAAGGAGTTTTTGAAGAAGTTAAATTATTTTGATTTATAATAAGTTGATAAGTGCTTTTATAGAAAAACATAAGTTATTTCAAGTAAGCATGGTTGTCTTATGTATCATTATGACCATTTTACATTTACATTTTTGAGTATGATATAAGATTCATGTAATTGAGACAATTTTATAGTTGTTCCAAGCAACAATCTGCTTGGATATTAATAAAATTTACATATTAAAATGTCTAAAGAATCATTCATAAAATGATATTAAGATAATTATTTGTTCAATTTTTTTAATTTAACGAATTAAATTTTTTATTTATTTATTAAGATCTTGATGAAAACTAACACACTTAGGGGCTCTTTATCAAACACTTACCCGGTAAGTGTTTACCGATAAAATTTAACTTTATTATTTATTTATTGCGTAAAATTTTAGTCCACCAAAACGTAATCGTATGTAACAATTTACTTGGTAAGCGTTTACTGTGGTAAGAGTCGTCGCTCTCAATTACCGGGTAAGACTATTGATTTTTGTCTCGCTCTTACCGGGTAAGATTTTTGATCCTTACTGTATTCATCCCATAAGGTGATTTTTGATTTTTACTATATTCATCCCGTAAGGTAATGTAACTTGGTGTTTACTTACCCGAGTAAGCATTTGGTAAACGGCCCCTTATTTTAACATAACACAAATTAAGATTTCAATTGTTGAGCAAAATAACAAACGACATATAGATTTTACATTAAAATAACATAAAATTAATACTGACATAAAATAAATTTTAGTTCGAGCTCACCCTCGTGGGATCGCGACCTCATAGTTCTTGGTCTATGAAGATGCGTTGTTAGGTGCTCCTAGAATATGACGTCCTTGATGTTTTCTTAATGACTATAAGATTTTTCTAAGATAGAATTGACCAATGATATATTAAGTTGAAATTCAACATAAGCATCTTGTCTGTAGCTCTCTGATCTATTTATAAAGTGAGGATTTGATGATAAACGGTTTAATGGTTGTGTCGGTGATGAATCAGACTCAATTTGTTACATGTATCATGTATGACAATACTCCAAGGGGGCGTTCGGTTCGTCGGAATCCGCCGAAATATGATGGAATTGGAATGGTCAATTTCATTGACCAAATTCCATTTCAATGTTTGGTTACCTATGGAATGTAATTGAATTCCAAAGATTCCCAAATCTGAGGAATTCACCATTCTTTGTCAAATCTAATGGAATTGAATTTCATTCCATCCAAAAGTGTTTAAATGACACAAATACCCTTTCTGCTCCTATGAATGGTTTGGTTTATAGTTACTTGAATTTTTTTCATCTTTCATTTTTATATATATTTCAATAAATGGTAAACATTTTTTTTCCTCATTAAATGTTAATTTTATATTGTTATTTGTATTTAAAAATATTAAAATTAAAAAAAAATATCGAAGTAAGGGTATTTTTGTCTTTTTTCATCATTCCATTCCAATTCTGTTGCAAACCAAACAGACAGATTCCAATTCATTAGATAGATTAAATTCCATTCCTTTTAACCAAACACTTGTTCAAACCTGATAACATTTTATTCCAATTCATTTGACAAATTCCATTTCTTCAGATATGTTTATTAACAATTTGTGCACCCAATTTATATTCGTCAAGATAATTTATCCGCAAGTCGAAATCATTGGGTCCATTACAATCTAACGCTCATACAAGGGTATCAATCGCTAACGATGCAGTTAAAAAGCAGTAAAAAAGGGATAAAATTTACAAATTCAATATAAAATTTATTTCGTAAGCAAAAATATTACAATTTATGATTCTAAACATTGTTATTAATTTTAAAAGTTGGAGAACAAATTAAGTTTTGTTAGATTTTTATGCATTTTAGCCGAAAATTAAAAGGCGAATGTGTATGCATTGATGGTTTAAAACTTTAGGGGCCCAAATGAACATATTTACAAAGTTTAGTGGAATAAGTGAAATAACTCAAAACTGTAGGGGCATTAAAATAAATTTACTTTTATTATCGAGTGTGCAAATAGTATCACTAGCAGGTGGGAGTAGAACTCCTAAAACCCGTTTCTAATAAGTGCTGTGCAAATTTCTAGGGTTCCAAAATCAGTAACTACGAATCTAAATTCGAACTTCCGAGCAAATGGAAAGTGCATTCGCCAGCGCTTCCGCAATTGGTGATCAACGCCAAAAGATTGAAGAATACAAGCACATTCTTTCCTCCGTGATTGCATCGAACGACATAGTACAAGCCAAAAAGTTCATTGACCACAGTTAGGGTTTTGTCTTACAGATTATGATTCAGTATGTGCAATTTGTTTTGTAGTTTTGTTGTTTTACTTAATTGAATCTTGTATTGAATTGACAGTTCTTTCGGACGATGTTCCGTTGGTAGTATCAAGACAGCTGCTACAGACATTTGCACAAGAGTTGGGGAGGTTGGAGGCTGAGAATCAAAAGGAGATCGCTCATTACACGCTTCATCAGATTCAGCCTCGAGTTGTGTCTTTCGAGGAACAGGTTTCTCACTAAATCATCTATGTATATGCTTAGTATTTTGTAGTAGAGATTAACTACATTATCTTGTAATGGTGATCGCTGAAACTACTTTTTGTACGTATAGCTTTGAGATGTGAGGTTTCTGGGGTTTGTTTCCTGAGGGTGGCAACAGAATTAGGTAAATTGCAATAGCCTCATGAAATTCAGTTACTAGCCAAGGGCACCCAGTGGAAATTTTAATATTTTTATAGGAGATTCCAGGTAAACTTTTGTGGGTGGCTGGTGCCATATAGACCGCCAGTGAATTGATGAACTTCAGTAGTATTTTATATTTGACTTATTTGTGTAAACACAAAGTCTTGGTCATAGCATTGGAATTCCTGGTTCACTTGAGTTGATAAAGTACCTAGCCATTCTATAGATTGTTCATAACAGGATGGTTCAACATGTCGGCTTTGGATTTGAGTTATCATGTTCAACAACTTTGTTCCAATCTGCCTGTTTTTATAGGTTTATCATTTTTTATCTCTGATATGGAAGATTTAGTGTTTTTCAACTTTCCAAGAAGGCAAGACTTCACATGCTTATATATAGATTTCTGTCTAACAATAAGTCACAAGGATTCTTTTGAGGGAATGAATTACAACAATTCTGTCAATAGAACTCTGTATGTCATCCCAAGATGGTGCTAGCATCTCTAGAATTATGCACTAAGCTAGTCTCTTTAGGCTCTATAAGATGCAGTACTTTAGTGGTTTCAACACTGATAGAATGATCACTTGAGAATTCTATAATTCACTTTATATTTACACATGAGTTTCATATGGATCCTGCAACTTGCAGGTTCTTGTTATCAGAGAGAAGCTTGCAGAGTTGTATGAGTCTGAACAGTTATGGTCAAAAGCGGCACAGATGCTCAGTGGCATTGATCTTGACTCTGGAATGAGGTAGGGAGAATGAAGGTCCTGTTTAATTATTTACTGTATGAAATCATGCTGCAAATTTTCTGTCACAGGGGCAATATTTATAAAATGAAACGAACTCCAAACCCTGTTCATTATTAGAATAGAAAAAATAGCCAAAGCTTTGACCATTAACGTAAAGCCTATTAGATCAATTGAGGTACTCATGGATTCTGTTCAAGTTACTTTTTTCTTGTCATGCTCTCTCCCCCACATGTTTGGCAATCGTATTCTTAGGCATTCCCTGCAAATGGCATATTCACATTCAACTCTGGTTAATCTGGAAAACGGAATAGTGCTTCGATAATAGTGGTGGGAATCTCTGATAAGTTGAAGATGATGCTTCAACATGCCAACATTTAATTGCGGCACATTATGGCAATGCAGACTTTCACATTACTTCTGTGAACGAGCAGTGTGACTTATCATATTAAAATGAACAAGATCTAATGATTGTATATATAGCTTGCACTTGTAAACTTTTATCTAAAAAGACCATACTAACTGTGACATGAACATATCAGAAAAGTAAAAGAGGAACTAGAAATATAGAGAATTGTGGTGTGTGGAGATGTGCTGGTGCTTTTGGGTGCCCGGTCTGATGTGGAGATTAATATGATAATGAAATCAACTGCTTTGGAAGAGAGAGCATACGAGGAACAACCAAAAGTCCCCAAACCCATGTCTCATCTTCTATTGTATGTCTGTCTTCAATTTACCATGGAATTTTCTTCTCTACTATTCTTAATGTTTATAAAGTGGCAATTTTTGGAAGTTCAGTGATATTAGTTTAGTCCAGTTGGTGACACTTTCATATTTTGTGCTTTGGT